GTTCGACGCCTGGAGAGGAACAGTTGGTGGCACTCGCAACTGCCTTTCTCTCTTGTTCGTGTCTCTCGCCGAGATCATGGAGGCGTACAGATTGATGATGCTCGCGCGCCTCCCGGATGCCACGATGCTGCTTCACCGTGCCCTTTGAGTGGGTGAGGAGGGGGAGGGGGAGGGAGGGAGGGAGCAGGGGGTCTCAAATCTGGAATTTGGGTGGTGGTGTGTGGGAGGAGGAGGAAAGAAAAAGAGGAGGACGGGGGAGTGGTGTTTGTGTTACCGCTGGAGAGGAATTAATGGAGGTGGAGCTTGGTGGAGGAGTCGGGGGACTTGTTCGTGGAGGAGTCGGGGGACTTGTTCGTGGAGGAGTCGGGGGACTTGTTCGTGGATGAGGGACAGTGTCGGAGGTGCCCGGGATTTAGTGAGGTTCGGGCCTACGGTTTTGAGATTCGGTGGTGTGGAGGTGAAATTGGGGTGTCGTCTTTCTTTCGGGGTAAGGCTGGGTGGATTATGCCGCGTTTTCGGTGATTTGCAGTACGTGTTTTTTTTTTTTTTTTTTTTTTTTTTTTTTGCCTCTTCTTCCAGTGATGGTCTGATGAGTACATGGTGTCTTTTTTTGGGTTTTGGGGGGTGGGATTTTCGGGAGGTGTTGAGGGAGGTGGTTTGGGTGCTGGGTTTGGGAAAATTGTCCCATTTAAGGAGGAGTATGGATCTTTGGAAATTTTGGGTGGGTGGGAGGAAGATTGCGGAGTTTGCAAAGAAAGCGATGTGGGAAGTTTCTTCCTAAGAAGACGCAGAGTTTGGACTGTATCGTTGGTATCTACTTGCAGCTTTGAGCATGTGATGGGCGGATTTCAAGACACCAGCTGCTTCTTCCCCCCTTAGAAGCTCCTGGAAAGAAGTATGTATTGTTTAAGGAGAGGATGTTGTGAATGATCTGGGAAAGATGTAGATGTCTCCAAGATCTCTCACGGGGGGCTGCGAAAGGGCATTGGTATTAGTTTTTGATTCCGATTCGGTGCAGTGAGAATTGCGAAGGTCGTATTGGAGTGCAATGGCATGTGTAACGCATATGGATTATCCAGACAGCGATGAGTAGATGAAGGAGTCGGAGGAACATTTGTGGTGCTGAAGTACCATCCTATGGTTCCTTCTCGCAGTGTACCCTGTGATTGTACGCCTAAGGCAGAGCAGTAGAGCCATTTGGTCAAAGATAACTTCGTCTTTGGTGGTCAAAGAGAGCATGACAATATCAAGAGCGTGTTGTAAAAGGACTGTTTAGGTCTTCCTTGAGGTGTATGCCTAAAGCTCCCTGATGATGCTCTAATTGAGTGGTGGACCGGTGGTGGGTGTTGAGTGCGAGTTCTTCGGCTTCAGGATCCTATTATTGCCTCTCAAACTGGTAGCTGTTAGTCCAATTTTTTTATTTTTTACTTTTTAGGGATTGAAACGAGGCTTCGCAACTGCAGTGCTCGAGATGTTCCTTGTTATCGGCGCTTTGGCGACCTTGAATCATCTTAATTAGTTTTACCATGTTAGGGGCTTGATCACTTCTTTGATCACTGAATTGGGTTGCATGTCTTAAGCACACTGGACAACTTTTTACTTGAGGGCAACAAATATGACTTGCTATTACTTTCCTTGCAATATGTTCCCTGTCGTTCTTTTATATTTTATATTCGATTGCAGTTATCTTCGGAAGGAAGCATGCTCGTTATTTCTCGATTGAGGTTACAACGTAAGTTCTCTTCTACAGGGGTCGGTTCGCGTGACTTAGAAGGTTGACTTATCTCGGTGGCGATGTTGGAGGCTGTAGAGGATGGGAGCGATGCAAGGCTTGTTTCTTCAGGAAGAGAGGGGTCTCCTGCTGTAGCTAGCAAGCCAATTGTTGATGATCGGTTGGTCTACAAGCTAGTCAAGGTACACTATCGTCTTTTTAACCTTTTGAACTCTGTGGCCCTATTAAAATTCATGGTAAAATTGATCCATGTTGTATTTCCAGTACAGAGCCATCAATTTCTTTACGCTGCTTACTCTTCTCTTGAATAATTATGTACACTGAAGTTTTTATTTTATTTTATTTTATTTTATATTTTATATTTTATTTATAATTTCTATTTTAAAACGTTTGGCTACCATTTCTTAGTTCTTGCGCTTATTCAGGGAAGGTGTGGGTTCTAATGCGCATTCTCGGAATTTGGAGGTATCTGCTTTGCAATGCTTATTGAAAAAGACGTTCTTGCAGGTTGGCGACGATGGATCAGTGCTTCCAGCTACTGAAGACGAGGTCTTCCAGTCCTTGGTCAGTGGGTCGGGAAATGTCCTCTCGTCCTTTAATCCCGGTGGGCGTGATCGTGGCGAAGACGAGGAAGAGGATGGCGAAGACGACGAGGACGACGAGGAAACTGAGTACGATACAGACGAAGATGAGCCAGATGAGAGGGCTCGAAATAGTAAGACTTTACGCCCTAGATACAGGAAGAGCCTTCAAGGGCTACAGCTCTGAATTGACTTCCTTCATACATGCATTCACAACGAGACTATGGTCAAATCGGGTGTTTCGTGTATCGAGAGCTTTTCTCGTACCTTTAGTGGGGTCTCAAGATATTATCAACTAGCTCAAGTTCCTAGACAGTTCAATACTTTCGCATTCTGAACTTTCGGTCTCATTTCGACTTCCATAATTCAGGTAGTTAAAGTTGTAATTTGGCATGTGCATGGCAATCTGTCTTCATTTTTGGAAAGGTTAGCTGATCATGTCTATCGCCTCCATTGTTATGTTCCCATATCTAGGTTACCGTCTTCAGGATGCTTTTCCTATTTTGAGGAGATCCTCAATTTTGTTTTTGTGATCATAGTTCATGCGTGTGGCAGTTCCCTTGCAAGACCTTGCTGCTCAAAGGCAGAAGCTGAGAGCCCGGCTACAGGTATTTAGTCGTAGTTCTAGCGTTCTGTGCTTCAAGTAAAAACCAAATGATACAGACCAATTGGGCTCTAATTTGAAATCCTTCCTTATAGTTTCCAGAGTCTTGGATGGCAATAACTTAGAATTGTCCAGTTCATGTCTCTGAAATCAGTTAGTTATTTGTATATGCAGGTGCTGGATTCTATGTTGTTACAAGTGGATGCTGAGGAACAGCAGCGTCTGGCTGCGGAAATTGATGGAGCGGGAAATGATCTTGGTCACGAGGGCAACATCTCTCCATACTTAAGTGCAGGGGATGGAAGTGGAGACAAGAGGCATCGCCGACCTAATCCTAAGTACTTTGGTTTTGAAGCTGGGGAAGATGGTGCTTCGGGGCAACCAGCGCTGAGTTCGAGCAGTGGAGAGCCTACGCTAACTCCCACCAACGAAACTGCTGTTTCACCACGAGTGACTTCTGGATGGAGATCTAATCGGAGCTCTATGCAATCGGCTAGCACACATAGGGCTAGAAGTACAGTCACGCAGAAGCTCTTCGCGAGAACTGGTACCAAGGTTGTTTCGCCAGGGTCATCAGTCTCAGGTATAAGTCGTGCTCACGAGGAAGTCTCTCTGGATAATCTTTCTATTCGTGAGCTTCACGAGGCATTTCGCGCTACTTACGGACGCGACACTTCTGTGAAAGACAAGCACTGGCTGAAGCGTCAAATTTCTGCTGGATGGATGAAACAGCGCGATGCTGCTTTCAAGTCTCAGTTGCCAGTGCCTGGCAAGTTGAAAACTAGGTTGGATCAAGACAACCATGCTGAGCAACCCCTTCCTTCTCTCGGCCTCATTAGTCTGAGAGGTATCGATAATGATGCTGCAAATGAAGCGTTATCAGAGGGGGCGGGGAACGGGGCTGAACGTGTTAAGCATTCAGCTTGGAATGGGCTTGAAAGCCAACGCTCTCGCCATGGAATGGCCACTCCAGCCATTGTGTCTATAGGTGGTAAACTTGATGGCTACAATACGGGAAGCTTGAGTAGTTCAGATGCTGGTCATGGTCGAATAGCCATCTACGGCGAGGTAGTAAACACCGGTGAGTCTCCTACACCTTGCATTGCTCTAGACCAACATCTCCCCCCGCCCCCTCTTTTGATAAAACTATATTGATATTGCTGTGTTTGCTGTGCTATTACTTCAAAAAGAAAAGAAAAGGAAAGAAATATTCATTTTTTTTTTATTATTTTCTTGTGAATTTGAATATTAGCCATATGTGACCAAGTTGTAACCTGATATGTAGGAGAGCCAATTGGTGGAAAAAGGCTACGAAAACCTAATCGTAAATACATTGAAGATGAGGCCGAGGCAGCGTCTGGCGATGTTCCAAACAACGACAACAGATCATTGTATGGAGAGTTTGGAGTGAATGGAATGGATTCATTCGCTAATTATTCTTGGAGGACAGTAGAAACAGATGGTCCAGCAGATATGATGGGACGGCATGGGACCCTCAGAGGTTCCACTTTGCGAAATACTTCTAATAAAAGTATGTCCGCATCTCAGCGGCCAAAACTAATTGGTGGGATTGCGGTATGAATGCTACCTCTAATTTGATGTCAAAGTCGATTTTTTCCTGCTTTTGAGGTTTTGCGATGATGCCAAATTCTACTTTCTTGGTGCTTCAGTTAGTGTGTATAAGCTTTTTCACTGATTACCAGTATTGTTGCTTCTTTTTTTCGCACTCTGTTTAATAATAATTTAAGTTTCAGGATGGTCAATTCATAAGTCCTTTGTCAAGAGACATGGTACGTAAAATATTATTTAGTCATTGGAGGTCAGTTTGCATCTAATAGCAAGGGCTTTTTGTTAGTTACAAATTAAAAGCTCGAACGTTTTGGGGATTATTGTGCACAGAAGCGGAAGGTCGAAGGGAGAGCCGCAAAACTAGTCAAAATGGCTCATTCTGCCCGAGCTGCGCGGCAAGATACAGAAAGAGCAGTTCGCAAGGTGTACTTTCAGCCACCCATTAAAGATGTAGACATGGCATTTAAATTGCGCGGTAGATATGGTTTGCTGCATCAGTATTTATTTTCGAAACTACCCCCTTTCGCATCCCCTTTTCTCCGTTTGTTTTGTTGTGTTTTGTTTTGGAGCCTATTTTGAAGGAATTTTTTCAATTGGCCATGAGTTTCAAAGCCATATATCTTTCCCAGAGTTTGTCATGACGATAGCTCATACATTTGAAGAGAGTGGAACGGAACATGGAAGGTGTCTTCCTTTATAACGTTGAACGTATCAAGGTTGTTTTATTTTGTTTTATTTTATTTTTGTTCAGGATGGCTTATCTGAGTTGAATGAAGAAGCGTCGGCTTTATTGCCGGTCGTGCCATTTGATCCTTCTGCAGTCTTGCAACCCTTGCCTTTAGATAGCAGGCCCGAAAATGACCTGCCTATTGCAACTGTTCCAACTGCTAATGGTGGAACAAGGCGCAAGCATCACAGACCATGGACCTTGCGGGAAGTTATGACGTTGGTTGAGGGTGTTGCACGATGTGGTGGGGGAAAATGGGCAGACATCAAGAAGCTAGCCTTTTCGAATGTTGGGTATAGGACTGCGGTTGATTTGAAGGTTAGTCTTCTTAGTTGGGTGTTCCAGGCAATAAAGGGTTTCACAACATGGTTTTGCCTTTCTGTTGGGTAATGCTTGTTTCTTAGGTGTTGAATCTGCAAGTTAATACCAAAGAGATTAGGTATTTCATATTGGAGAGAGTATGGATGTCGTGTGCCTGAGCTTGACCATCTTAAGCCTACGTAGGGGAAGGGATTTTACTTAAAAGCAGCAGCGCTATTTCTTATGGCCCTCTCATGCTAGAAATAGCACAGAAATTTCCGAGAGGACTGGTCACCTAATTTATCATTATTTGTTATGCGCAGGATAAGTGGCGAAATCTTTTACGAGCCAGTCGGGCTCAGCTACATCCAGCCAAGCAGGTGTGTAGTTTCGTGTGCCATTTTCTGGTTACCATCTGGTTATTACTATTGAAATAGACACTTGCTAATGCATTTAACCTCCAGAGGTCTAAGTGTCACTCTTCTTGTGAAGAATTTTTCACTGAATACGTGTTGGAAGCATTACATGACCATGATGTACAAACGAAAGTTCTAGATAATCAGTCATGTCACATGTCATATCTGTATGTTTGGATTTACCAAGTAATAGTATCAATATTTTTAAATAGATTTAAAGTAGTTTTCAATCTAAAAATTGAATATCAGTGATTATCTCTTGATTTTTACTTGGATAGGTTTGAAATGTGAAACTTCTAACATGGTGGAATGTCATAATTGTAATAGCAATTAATTTGTAACGTCCTCAGACTATCTCATTCTTGAACCAAGAAATAAGAGCTACATACTTTTAATCAGCTACTTCACAAAGAATATGTAAAAAGAATATTAGAAATTCACACCACATTGAAGTTAGTTAACTGGCACAAGTATGAAGAAGTCTTTGGTTGGATCAGAAAAGCAACCTTAACGGCTAAGAATCTAGGTGATTCTGTTCATTGACCAGGTTTGTGGTTGCTCTAATGCGAAGGGTTAATTATGCCCTAGTTTTTGAACGTTTCTGAACTCAAAATGTAGGTGTTGGATACTCTTGCTTTCTGGTTGATTGCAGGGCGAAAGAAAAAAACAATTCACAGCAGCTATCCCTGCTCCGATACTAGCTCGTGTTCGTGAATTGGCTGCGCTTCAGAATCAGATCTCTCCGACTACGGAAACTGGCAGCAGCACAAGCCGCAGTGGCCGGACTGTTCATAGAAAGTAGCTGTAATATGCATCTGCTTTGGTACTTCCTGAATTTGAGTTATTTCAATTGTTGAGAGAAATTGCTGAGTCTCTCTCATCTGTTAGACCCACCACGACCAAGTGGAACTAGTGATTCTCGACTTCACAGATAGGTCTGACTGTCAGGTTCCATATGTTCTATACTAGGCTAAGATTCGTCTAGACAGCAACCGGGATATCAACACAGAATGGTTGAGTGGTATCAGAGCCAAGACCCTGTAATAACTCCATGGTTAGTCTTTTATAAGAATTTGTACTTGGACCGGGTACTTTAGAGGGAAATAACTCATTGGTTTCTGTAAATTTGTATTTGAGTTTAGCATGGGTTCAAATCCAAATGGCCATCAGATTTTTGATTGTGTGTACATGTCTTCTGTACACCATCTCGTTGTCTGGGCAGGATACTTGACCAAGTTGGGGCAGTAGGTCTTGATCAAACTGTCTGGAGAACGGCGTGTAATCAGTTTGAGTGCAGGTTTGTAAGTCCGTGTTGGCGTTAAGTCATGTTGAATTCCCCGACGGTGCTTTAGTAATGTGTGCTTGCGTAGTAATCTTAATGTCATCCTTCTGTTTAATGAGATTAAGCCTTCTTGCGACTTTTTGAGATCCGTGAAATTACTGCAATAATGCCTTTGAGCTGTAAATTAAGCCGATGAAGTAACTGATTATTAGAATAGTCAGGCTGTCCACATCTTATTTATTTTCGGAGTCGTTACATTCAGTGACATGGATGTGCATGCTTGACCTCCAGAGTCGCATACGTCAGGCAAATTCTCAGCACAATCTAGAGGCATTCCTCTCAGATATTTTCTGAGTTCACTGTTTACAGCTTAATGTAATTCAGAATCAATTTGTATATAACCACTATAAACTGGCCTACATCCTTACTGAGAACTGGCCATAACTTGTGTATTAACGCTTTGATGACCATGACATCCAGATTCGACAATCAGGAGCACTAACTGATTTGGAGTTGGCTTACGAGGTCTGTTCCAAACTTTAGTCTTTCCTTAAGATTCATAAACCAGGCTGTGACTGTTAACGGGATTTACCATCTATTTTATCTCATGCAGTGAGAGAGCATCCATCCAATTTCGTCAATGTTAGTTAACAGTAGTATCTCTAATAGAATTGGTCAGCTTAAGTAGGAAGGTGAGTGAAAATGGGTTCGGTCTGCGCTTTCTGGAATGAGATGTAGATGGATGCATCAAAGACAATACGAGTTTGTCAGCGACTGTAATTTAGATCTCATTGACGACGATAAGACTCGTCAAGCAACAGTGTTAAGATCCAGTCTCACAATTCCCTGAGTGCTTGTTGAACGAGCATTTCTCTTGATCACAATTGATGCTGGCTTTTTAGGAAAATACTAAAAGATCTCAAAATCTTGCCAAGACGCAAACAAGCATCTCCATGATCATCGAGCGGACCGATATAAAATAAGTTTTCAGAATCCGGAGCAAACTGCAGGAGCTTAACACTAATTAATCTCTTCGTCTAAGGCACTGATTCTTGTGAATGACAGCTCTCAATTGTGCTACGCACGTGCCTGTAACGTTGCATCTTATCCCTGCTGATGATAGCATTTATGTTGGAAAGAGGTGTTTGCCGCAGTTGGAGGCGGAACTCGGATATTTTGCTCGTGGGGCCAAATGCTGCTCATTTCAAGAAATTCACTGATGGTATACTCACAACTACCCTCTCAAAGACGTCGTGGGGTTGGGTTGACCACTACAAGTGTAAAGCTTTTGTACCATATTTGAGAATTCGGAAATATACTCATCTTTCTGGTCCGATTCCTCGAAACGCAGACCTGGATCTTCTGTGGCTGATCTCGCACCACGCAGTTGTGGTCGTTTCAGTGTTGGATGGAACTGGTTGGGCTGCAGGTGTGGAAGTCTCCATGGAGTAGATCAAAGCAGCCGTGGCAGGGGTGGCTAAAAGCGAACTGGGACCATCTGTTGCAGCAACTGAACGTCTGGTGAGCGCCCACTATACGCGATTGCATGTGTTGCTGCTGAGCAGTAATCCCTCATTTAGCTAGTGCAAGGAACGGCGAAATGGGGAGTTGCAGTGTCTGATTTAATGGAGAGGCTAGAGGTGTGGGAGTGAAGTGAGGGATGAATTATGATCAGTTGAGAGCTTGAGGTGGTGAGAATCTGACCCATGTGATGGGTTTTTGTAACTGTAACCTCCTTTTCCTTGCAGCTGAGTGGGAGATGCCACACACACATGGAAAACTGAGCGGCGGTGTTGCCTTCACCTCCTCGTCTTCAACTCGGTCTTTGGGTCCAGCATCTTCATGTTCGTCATTGCCGTGGCGACCCAAGCTTGGAATCTTATGCCCATGCTTCCCTCAGTCCTGTAGTGCAGCCAGTTAGGTAATGTGCCGACACTGCCACACCGAGAATGAGAAATCTGTTCCATACACGTTTTCTGAAAGGTTTTCTGAACTTGATTTATAGTTGGCGTACCATTCTGCTCAACTTCAAATGAATGATGTTTTATGAGGTTGTAGAGTTTATTATTTCTAGATTGAACAATCTTGTATTTCTGTTTGGAAAAAATTGCATGGGATGGAAACTATACCTAAATCCAAGCTCATTCATTTTACCATTTGTTGGTGCAATTTTGCATGTGCATATGCAGTTTTAGGGAATTTGAATTTATTTATATATTTTGTATCATATTTCTAAGTGTTAGTCTTTTATAAGAGAATTGTTGTAAAGTATTATGGTCGATTACACTATCTTAGTTGTTGATTTTTTTAGTAATATATAACTTATAATTCACATTTTTAACTAACAAATGTGTTAATATTTTGGACTTGTGTAAATTCAAGCTATGCCTTCTATGTGTATCATTATTAAGATGCTATAAATATTAGGTATCACACCAAAGTTTTTACATTTGTATATTTTATGTTTGTGGTTTTCATCTCCTGCGTGTTTTCTTTTTCTTTTCCTTCTTGAATTAAAAGCAATTTTAAAGCACTACAACCATTTATATAAAAATTAGACTATAGCAACATAGTAAAGTGTAAAAAAATGTTTTTTCCAAGTTCCTTTGATATGAGTTTTAAGTTCTTTTAAAAAAGAACAAATATTCTTTAAATAAAATTAACATTACTTTTATTCTAAAAACATTTGAGTATTGTAAATTATATTAAAGAAAAATTAATTCAAAATTTAAAGAAAAAATTTAGATTTATTATATTACTAATTTATCAAATATATACTTGTTTGCTTCAAATATTCTTATGGTTTGGAGCTTAAAAATATATGTTTTATTTTTTAATACCAATAGAGAAAAGTTGAGTTAAAGCATCTAAAAATAACACAAATGTAACTAACTAGACATGATACCATTAAAATTGTATTTGCATTTGACTTAATTAATCTCATGATATCTTTATTACATCACTAAAATTCTTTTAAATATCATTGATAAGTATCTAAGATGTTATTTTAAATTAACTTCTATTATTAGTACATATTTATTTATTTAGAAAAACAATAAAGCAATCCAAATTTTTACTAAAATCAACCCACATGATTAAACCATCATTGTATCTTTTCAACCCTATCCCTATTCCCAACTGTCACCTCCATCTTTGACACTCCCAACCCCCTGCCCCATCTTTAGCAACCATTGGAAATAAGGATGGAGGCTGCAAGGGTGTAATGATGGTTAAGATAGAATGGGTTGATTTAGTAAAAATTTGGGTTGCTTTATCATTCCCCTATATTTATCCTACTTATATAATCCAATCTAAAATAAGTTATATTTATGATATTTTGTAATTATTTTTTAGAAATATATTTGAACATTTTTTTAAAAAGAAAAAAATCTATAAAATTCATATGTTAAATTTATATATGATATTTTCTATGTAAAATTTATTAATAAAATTAAAAATTAAAATATCAATGTATAAGATTAATTTTTACAATTCTTGCTTGATTTGTATTATTATAAAATTTGCATCTATATTTTTTTGCATACATTTTTATAATGATTTATTTTTATATTATTATTTTTGAATTAGTTTATATCTTTTCTTCTAACTTGGAAAATTCTATAATATGCTCAAAATTTTAGCATTTTTGAAGGTACATTTTTTTGTTTCATTATATTGAATATGTTATATTTTTATTATGTCCATGACCAACTCTCTTATGTATATTCTTAACTGCATCATTAATTTGTAAAACAATATTTGCAAATAAATCTTATTGTGGCTTTCTATTGTACAATTGTACCATTATTTTTTACAGTATTTCTTAATTATACTGTAAAAGCAAAAGAATTTAACTTTAAGCACCTATTTCTTTCTTTCTTTGTTTTTGGTTTTTTTTAAACTGTTATTCATCTACTGGTTTATAATGTAGTTAAACCCCTTTCAATATCTACAAGAATATCTAAAACAATATGCACAATTGATAAACTTTTAGATATTTTAGTAACTTGAGTAGTGATCTACTCTACTATTTGATGTAACACCACTTCAAATTACACCGTTTGTGCAAAACAAATTGGTATTTTATTGCATAATACTTGGGATAATTTTGTATAGACTATCCAAGATAAAACTTATTGTTGTTAAAAAGTAATATAATGCAATTCTTTGAATGTTGTGCATTCAATTGCAATTCAAAGTCTCATATTTTAAATACCTTGTCATCACAAAAGTTTATGCTTATATATATATATATATATACAACAAGCTACAGGCTACAAATTCTTTCTACATTATTGAATGTTCGCACTGTTATATTGATTTTGGCTATTTCAGTGTAAAGTATACAATAGCACAATAGGGTTATAGTTTCGAAACAGTGTAAAATGACACTGCAAATTGCTTCTGAGCAATTGCAACCGTCAATGCCTGATGATTCTTATTTTCACACCTTCATATTTCAGTCCAAAGATTTCCGCTTCATGTTTCCACTTTCAATATTTAGATATTAGATATTGGAAATCTGGGAGTAATTCTTTTGCACTCTTGATTCTTCAGAGGTTAATGGGAAGAATCAAGCATATCTAACACCTTTTCAGAAGTTACAATGACCATCCGGACAATTCCAATATTCTCAATGCAATATAACACAAGCCAGAGGATACTGAAAATGCTGCTAAATGTTGCATCCAATTCCAAACAATTATTTAGAGTTTTCCTCGTTGCGAATGACACTGATTTAACCAGCGATAGTACGCTATGTCATTTTTCGGCTTCAACCCTTCAAAATTCAATAAATCTGACGCCAGAATTCAAACTACGGACATCTCTCTGGCGACACAGTATTCATACCTGCCGGTTAGAGCCTCACATCACATCAAAAAGCTATTTGAGACACTTCGAGAAAAAGAAACTAGGTTTTGCAAATATATAAATATTGAAGAAACGCCTCGCAAAAACCGTATACAGGTAAACTGTCAATTTATAAATTAAGGACCCACATGAGGTCATCTTGTAGATGTGCACTAGGTAGTCAATCTCTTAAGCAAACTTACGTACCTCAACCGTTTCAATTCCGAAAGCTCAGTACAGAAACTCAGCACTAATTAGGTTGTAATGGTATGATCTCTCTTTCCACGTTCCTAAATCATGTACACATGGCGAGTTTGGTTCTTCCATTGACTCAATCAAACCAGTGTTTAAAGGAGTGACGAACAACGACCTAATAAAGACTTCATAAATTTACATCGAACACTGTCGTTCATCAATGCTGAGCCCACTGGATGCTCTTCAAATCGATGCCTTCCTGTACCATCTCCCATAAAGGACTCATTTGCCTCAATTTAGCCACTTGATCCACAGTAAGAGCGATGGCCCTGTCGACCTCCTCCTTTGTCGTGAACCTACCAATGCCGAACCTTATAGAGGTATGGGCCATATCTTCTTCTACTCCCAAAGCTCTCAATACGTATGATGGCTCGAGACTTGCACTAGTGCAAGCACTTCCGCTAGAGACAGCTACTTCTTTCAGTCCCATAAGCAAGCTCTCACCTTCCACATACGCGAAAGATAGATTCAAGTTTCCAGCATACCGGTGCTCCTCGCTGCCATTGAGGATCACACCATCTAACTTGGATGTAATACCCTTGTACAAACGATCCGATAGTTCTTTGATGTGTTTCTCATCGCACTCCATTTCCTCCATAGCAATCTGACATGCAGCGCCCATGCCAACAACTAAAGGGGTCGGAACTGTCCCACTGCGAATGCCTCTCTCTTGCCCACCTCCGCTCATCTGTGCTTCCACGCGAACGCGAGGTCTCCTCCGCAAGTACAGAGCTCCAACTCCCTTAGGACCATATATTTTGTGCGCGCTCAAGGACATTAAATCCACCTTCAAATCATCGACGTTTATGTTAATCTTTCCAACCGCTTGAGCAGCATCTGTATGGAAAAAAACCTTGTTCTTCCTGCACAATTCTCCAATTTCCGCTAAAGGTTGAATGACACCAATCTCGTTGTTAACAGCCATAATTGATACGATACCAGTGTCTGGACGAATAGCGGCCTTGAGCTCATCTAAATCAATCAGACCATCTTTCTTGACTGGCAAGTACGTGACCTCGAATCCCTCCTGTTGCAAGTGGCGGCAAGAGTCCAGGACACACTTGTGCTCTGTCTGCGTGGTGATGACGTGCCTCTTCTTCTCCTTGTAAAAATGCATAACTCCCTTCAGTGCAATATTATTGGCTTCCGTGGCGCCGGATGTAAAAATAATTTCCTTAGGGTTAGCGCCTATAAGCTTCGCAATCTGCTCCCGCGCCTTCTCCACCGCGCCATCGCTTTCCCATCCATACATGTGCGTACGAGAGTGAGGATTTCCATACTGGTCGATGTAGTAAGGAAGCATGGAATCGAGAACGCGAGGGTCCACAGGGGAAGTCGCCTGCATGTCGAGGTAGAGCGGACGCCCCGCCATCCTCACCCCCTTCATCAGAACAGCGGGAGGCGAAGCGGCGGGTGCAACATCCTCTTCGTGAGAGACAGCGGTAGCGGCAGTGGAATTCAATCGCGACAGGGCAGATACCCCAGAACCAACACCTGCTGAAGAGAAGGGCAAGTGACAAGCGGCAACGGCCGCTCGGGCACGCCACAGAATGTGCAAGGAGCGAGACGCAAGGGGCGCCATGGCGAAGACAGCAGCAGCAAACAAGAGAGACGCACTGAGCACCAAAGCCGAAATCACAGAGACCCGCCCGAACAAGAAGAGGTATAAAAAAACACTAGCAAACGATTACTTACGTAAGGTCTTCGAAACAATCGCCACGAGAGCAGTGGCGATGGTCGCGTGAGAGGATTGAATGCAAAAGAAGGGTCACACGGAGGACTGTGCTAGTCTGAATTAGGGTTTTATAGGGGAGACGAATGCGCCGTTCATAGCGCGCTTTCTTTTTAAAGACTTTTAGATATTTGGCAAATGTGAATCTTTCTTATGTATGGACATATGCTTGTTTTTCAATATTCCTTCACACAATTGTTGTTTCAAAAAGTTTCTAAATCATGGAACAGTGACATGTATTTATATTAACGAATATTTGTTTTCCCTTTCCTTTTGGTTTTGTTTTGTTTTGTTTTATTTTATTTTTTATTTTTTGGGGGGGGGGATTTTCAGCATGTCATTATCTAAGTGACTAGAGGTTTTACAAGTGGAGAGATCAAAGATTAGTTTTGAACACTATATTTTTGTTTACAGCAATAATGAATAATTCTTTATGCAGTCGGATAATAGAAATTTTCGTAGTAGGTGTTGATGTTAGATTGTCTTTATATTCACTATTCTTGTCAACTTAGATTTGATTGGTCGATTGTTTATTTTTGCTTTTTAAGTTTATTTATGCAGTCCTTTTTTTAAAAAATATCATTTGTTTCAAAAATATCATTGAGCAGAGATGATGCTTTTGACAAGGTCTTTCACATTTTGTGGACACAAAACATTTCATGGAAGCAACCATAGGGTTCAGTGTTTATTCGAAGTGTGTAACCCGGGTGCAGTTCACATTTAATTACCTTGATACAGTTCGCACAAGTATAAGGGGCTAGTCCTTCGAATTCAACTCATGATGTATGAAAATCAACCACTCAGTCCCGTGTCTCGCAAGAAGCTTTGAGACATTACAAATTTACAGGGCAACGTTGCCAAGGATTTCATGACTGAAGAAGCCCAGTGACATGGTCCATGCACAACAGCACTCAATCAGTAACGCAGATGAAGTGGGCATCGGCGTTTTCATCGGTGCAGTACAAGCACGGGTGCTGCTTGAATCCAGAGCTGGCCAACGACTCGCGGATCTTCAGCACTAGCTCACGGTTGGAGATTGGACCCTCAGTCTCGGCCAACACGCCGATCAATGCGTTACTGAAAGCACCGTAGGATTGCGAGTGATCTCCAGCAGGTGTGGCATCGGCGGACGTCTCGTTGTGCTGACACCCACTAAGCAAAATGCCCGCATCTTCACGCGCACGGTGACTTGCAGATGGTCGCACTCCACCGTAAGCGGCTCGGGCAGTGGAAGGGTGTACGCTACCAGCCGCGGCCATGTAGTTGGCAGCTTCATCAGGTGATTCGGAATCCAGTTTGGATTTCAGGTAATGCCCGGCTGCACTTGATAGCATGCCCATGAATCCCCCTTCTTCACCTCCGCTCTGCACACCAGCAACATAGGAGGGATCATTGAGTGAGAGCCTCGCACAAGTGCTGTCGATACTTGGAAATTATGTGCCAGTATTCTAAAGTCCACCCAATTCGGCATTCGCATATCCACTTATCAAGCAGGTATCCAACTACCGTAACAGGCGAATTGAGTTCATTAAAATAATAATAATAATAATAATAATAATACTAATCAGAAATTCTGTCAATGCCTACTGCACTCCAGTTTAAAGAACAACATCTTCTTCATTGCAATAGAGGAATCTTTCCGCACATGCGTCTTCTCCAAGTTTGACTTAGATGCGAGCATTTAGCACATGACACAAGTAGGTTTTAAACTAAGACGAGAGAGCATGTCTTTCAGGGTTATGAGCCGATAATTCTCCTCAAGAAAAGAGTGCCCTGTTTTATCTGCCAGCAAATGTTGATATTCAGAGCAACTGAATTACATGAAATTGAAAAAAAGAGGAGTACAGTTCACCTGAATTCGAGAGAGGAGGATGTTCACAAAAACTTTCACTTTAGGGCTGGCATCGTCCCCGAACATGTCGAAGAGAGTGGTCCGAATGTTTCCGACTTCCACCGGGTGCCCAGCCTGTTCACTCAGCATCTCGGATAATGTGTTAATGTCCAGGTTTCTGTTCTTCACTTGCTGGCTTGTCTCCTCCAAGTACTGCGACTCGAAGTCAAAGTTTTGAAGGTCAGGCCTCTCCTCGTCATTGTCCCTATTGCCTGAACCGAACCTGGACCTCATATTGGACAAAAGTCCTCGAAAACCACCCTCCTCTTCCTCTCCCTCTTCTACATCTCTCTTGCCGGAAAATGCGCTAATGCCCTGCCCAATCAATCCAAATAGGCCGCCTTCATTTTCTTCCTCCGATGGAAGACTAGCGTAATTCACGACAGTGTTTCCTATCTGCTCTTTCGCAGAGTCAATGAGACCACCACTATGACATGAGTCCGACAAGAATGTAAATGTCACTCCAACGGGGATTTGGTTAACCAGTTCTCTGAAGTCGTCATCTGCACACAAGCGGTTCCAGACATGTTATTATGATACCATCTCGAAGACTCAGCCTAGTGCTACTTCAACATTTAATTAGTACCATCAGCGACATTGGAGGATGTTCTCAACCTGTAAGCAACCCAATAAAATACCATGCAAATGTCGTTGTACACACTTTTTTACAGCGAGTATTTCAAACTAAAAAATACATAACATCGTCGATGTGAGGACAGACCTGTTAGAAGATTCATGTCGGTGGGTACAATAGCTTCGTCGGCTCCAGTATCATCTTGCTCACCGGATTCTGCAGGCACCTGTAAAAAGAAAACGACATTAGAGAAACGACGTCATTTCTACACCAAGGCGAGGACCGAAATCTGATTACTTAAATGTAAACCTCACCTCGAGTGTGACAATAATGAAGGGCACGTTTCTTTCTTGAAGTTGAAACAAACTCGAATTTCAAAATCTAGACTGAATGCCAATATACCTGAGTGCCATGGCCACTGTAATGAAATACAAGGCAATCCCCGGCCTCGGTGCTCTGAATTAGCTGAGCCAAACTCTTGCGAATGTTAGCACCAGTAGGCTGGGGCAACGATGGATCAGTGTCCAACATCACCAGAATGTCGATCTCGTCGAAACCGAAACGATTCATCAGCAGTTCTTTCATCCGCCTGACGTCATTGGCACATCCGTGCAGCTCGCACTTGGTGCCGGGGTAATTGCACCCCACCAGCAACGCACGCTTCGACATTATGCTCAATCCTACGCTATCTCACCTGTAGATTCCAACCCAGAATATCAATGCTTATATCAGAACAAATCGACCGAGCAGCTTCAAGTTGACAGTGAATTTGACAATGAAATGAACGCTTCAGCACGCTTTCCAGACTTTCAGGTGAAGCAAGAGCCCTGAGCGAGACCACTCTAGTAACGCAGAGACATCTGTGGCCCAGGGATCTGGACCTCAACGATTACCCACGATGGACCAAAATTCTTTGCGATCCATTGCGCAATCCCGATGCCAGACCAACTCCACAGTCTAAAGAAAATGAAAAATACATACATAAATAAAAAGATACAGAGGAATCCAATCCAAACTCTGTAATGCGCAATTCTTGGTGAGAGGGATAACAGATCCAAGCGTAACACCCATACAGTAAGGACAATTTAAATCCAGTCACAAAAGTAGGGTCGTACTAAAACTCTACATCCACAACACATCTCAACACGACTGGGATCCAGCAGTACTTCGCAGAGACAACCAAGAAACTGGTCAGTAAAGGTGAAGAAGGGCAAGGTCGAGAGGTTACATAGCAGATGGTAAAACGAGGAAAAAAACACGCACCTGGGAATGAGTACCAGGACGATCTGTGGAATGCAGGGGGAATGGGCAAGGGTTGTCGATGCAGATATGCGAGCCCACATTAATAAGAGCACCCACTGGGAGGTGGTGGGACAGGGAGCACTCGGAACAGTTCTACGAGGGAGGGGGATGCGACCCAGTCGTAGTGAAGGTAGGAAATGGGTATCGGAATCTTGAGAGTGTGTGCAAAGGATCATCGAGCTGGGAGGGCGTAAAGAGTGGATTGCAGGACCCCACCTTCAAGGGAGGGTCAAGTTTGAGCGAAGCATGAGGACGGTGCTGCCAAGTCTCGACTGTGGACTTGGCAGAGCTTTTCTTGCGGCACGCGGAGAGACCACAACGACGACGACGACGCCAGGGTCGGTGGCAAAACACGGGAAAGGCTCCCCGTTCAAAATCCCTCGCCACCAGCGCCTCGTAAGGGGCGTCCTGGATTAGATCACAGGTACACATGGCAAACTCTGATTCGTCGAAAAATACCACGAGGATTTGTGCCCTAGGCGACTGCTGCCGTGTATCCGGATTGATACCCGCTGAATTTGACTCTCCTAGTTTGACCCTGGCTACTCCGGGTTATTCGACTAACTTTCACCGATCAGATCGGATGCTATCTCACATTCGCTGGATGCAATCGAAACCCACGTGTTTAGTATTCCTTGCTTTGGTGTTTCGAACATCCAAGTGGCAACACTTGGTAGTTTCTTCTGTTTTGAATCCTGTAAGGTAATTTAATAGATTTTGAGTCGTAGAATTTTTGGCCATGTGTGTACATGAGAAAAAAAAACTTAACAGTGATATGTGTTGGACATATTAAATAATACTATTGTAATGAATAGGTTTATGAGACTAAGAAATAACAATGACAATGTTTATTCCATATTGAAAGACACCTGCCTTTTGAAATATGTGTTCTCCCTTATAACACTTGTAAATTTAATCAGATATATTTGTAGCTTGCAATTTTTTTGATTGTATAAAACCAGCCTCTATTGCCATTTAATCTTGGTTTGATTTGATTTTTTTGATTTGATTTGATTTGATTTAATTTTTTTTATTTTTTTATTTTTTTTTTAAATAATGCTTTGGATGATTCCACAGCTGGAACGTTTTTTTACATTAAAAAATCCTGTATTTTAAAGATCTTTTATAAAATATTTACTATATGACACAATATTGTAGGTAAAATGAGCTTATCTGTTAATGATATGTATTTACTTTTTTATGAATGCACTATATAAGATAATTAAATGTAATAATTATTAAACATAAAATGGTTATAAATCCACAAAAATTATATTTCATGCATCAATTTTTTAACTAAAAATAAGTTAGATTTATGGATTAATACCATATTGATTAATATTGAAGTTATTTGGAAAATTTCAAAACATACATATTATAAAGTTTTTATTTTATTTTTTTATAATATGTCAATTTAAACATGCAGTTTAAAATTTTAAAATTTGATAATTACCAAAATATAAGAAGCAATTCTATGATTTTTATTATGATTTTTTAACAATATTCTTCTATAAGAATAATAGTAACAACTCAATTTCAGTAATCAAAATTTTAAAAATACATATTTACTTATTTATATTTTTTGAAAATACAAAACATTATTTCTAATCTTTATTTATATAATCTAATCTTTTAATATTTATATTTATTTTAATATTATTCAATTGAAAAACCGAAGCTCTTTACTATTAAAATTTTAAATAAGCTATGGCATGCATATATTAAATTATTATCAATTTAAAAATTAAAATAAAATTAAAAATTTAAATTCTTTATTTTGAATCATTTAATGTATTATAATATCATATTTAGTTATTAGCTTTACAATATTTTCTAATTATAATTATATCCATATCATTAAGTTTATTAAATCTAATTATATCATGTTATTTTAATATCATAAATCTAATATATTTTAATATCATAAATCTAATGTTATTATATCTAAATATAATTATAATTATAATTACAAATTATAAATTTCTAAAAATTATGTTATTTTTAATTATTATATTACTTAAATTAAATTTTATTGATATTTTTAATATAGTTTTAAAAATTATTTTTATTAAATAGAATCTAATGATACAAATGCTTATCTTAAATGGATAGAAGCAAGTAAAATTATAAACATTTTATATAGATAATATCTTCTCCAAAAAAAATTAAAAAATCATCATAAATATAGATTTGATTTTTGGATTCTTATAGATATGCTTTAATATTATACAAGTATTTGCTTTTGAAAAACTATTATGATTTTTTTTTTCCTAAAATTCTTATAGGCTTTAAAAAGCTTATAAAAGGTCTTTTTAATAGCTAAAATATATAAAGATAAGACTAAGAGTATCCTCAATCTTATCAATATTTTTTTATATTCAAGTCTTAGTTTTGGACTATATCTTAGTTTTGGACTATCTTAATATACTCTTGTGTCACTCAAAAAGAGTAGATATTCACTCAAAGGTAGTATTATATTAAAATTACAATGACTATTACCAAAGACAAGAATATTAGAGATTCTAAAAACAAAATTAAAAACAAAAAAAGGCATTCATAAGAATCAAGAAGGCTTCATTCTTGCTTCCATATATATTATCTAACTAAGAGCTATGTGATAACATTTTGTAGGATCTTACACACATGTCCAATTTGCAAGACTTTTGTCAAATTTACAAAATAAGTTGTTTATGTGACCAACTTGTATCACAAGTTATTAACATGTACAATATGTGACCAATTTTTTGGCTAATTTTTCAACTTGTCAATCATCTACAAATATCTGTAAAGTCAAATCTATATCTATAAAGCTTTTCCACAAAATATGATTAAATCTACTTATTTCTAATAATTTTTAATCTAACTTCTTTAATCTATGTAAATATGTATGTTTTTAATATTACCTCCATTTTTAGATACAAGTTCTACAAGGAGTAGTATTCACATGTTAAAAAAGTCAAATATGTAACAAATTATATTTAGTACATACTCTGATCTTTGTTTCTTTTGAAGATAGTTGATAGATCTTCTCAGCTATTAATAGTGTCATATATTAGGGCCAAAATATCATCCTAATATTTGATCATTATTGAGGCCTTCATAACTTCTTACAAACAAAACATTTGAAATACCATCAAAGTTAGTTTCTATTTCTAATAATATAACCAAATATTGAGAGTCTCTTCTAAGATTGTGATACTGAATATATTATTGAGAAATTTGTTGGTCCAAGAAAATATGAAATTTTTTGCTATGAAGATCTTTATTTCTTATGTATGTCTTAGATAGTTTCCATCATCTTCTTGGCATTTGTTTGTACTAAGTTATTATCCAAATCTCTCACTTTGAACTTCTATAATTCAATGTGAAATCAATTGAATGATTTGAAGTCTTTTGCAATAAAACACATATTTCATCTTCTCTTTGCATTCTAATTTTTAAAATGATTGATGACTGAAATCAGTAAGAAAATATCTTTAGTTAACTTTTTGGTCATTTTTCTTTCTTCATAGTGCTATATCCAACTATTCTTTTATCAAAACCATAATTCTCATAGACACTAAGTTTTGATCCCTCAAACTTTTTGTCCTTGACTTGCAAACTTATTAAATCTTTTTTACTTTAGAACTTCATTTTTCCTTGACCTAATTAATTTTTGCTTTCAAACTATGCACTTAAGTAGATACACTTGTCTTAAATACTATCCTTAAATCTTATTCTAATCAAAGACTCTAATCAATCTCAATAGGCTCCAATCTAAGATCCAAAATTTTATTTTATTTATAGATCAAAGAAGAAGATATAATTATATCCCTTAGTACTTTTTCTTATTTTTTAAAGTCATCTTAAAACTTCCAAATAATGTTTCCAATATGTCTTTTTTTTTTTTTTTTTTTTTTTTTTTTTTTTTGTTTGTTTTCACCTCCTTAAATCTCTACTTAAGAATACATTTGGTCTAATAGAAGCCAATACTTGCAATCCAATGAAAAGCCACGACATACAATATAATGATAAGTGGTTACATGGAGTCCTATTATAAGCTATGACATGTGGTCTACCCAATCCTTATCCTAATTTTTACTATCAAACTTTCTTAGTTATCAATCTAATGGTTAGTCCTCTAATAATATAAATAAATATATGAATTAAAAATAAACTATAATAATATGAATTTAATTTTATACTTAAAGTAGGTACAATCTATATAAATATTAACCATTTAATTATTAAATGGCCTATATCACAATAATATTGCATCTCATCATATATTTAAAAAAGAATATGTTGTTATTGAGGATCTTCAATTCTATTATATTACCTTGAAGGTTGTAATAATCTCAATGACTCATCCAATAACTCATTAAATAATACCTCCTAAATTAGATTTATTGATTATTAATTTTCCATCTCTTTAGTACTATAAATATTTAAAAATAAAAAAATAAAATAAAAGATAGAATTCAATCTTTACTATTTTTTGTTTTTTATTTTTTATTTTTTATAATAAGGAATTAATTGACTATTTATCTTAGTTTTGATGGATGATATTGAAAAAAAAACATCAATCTTCTTTATTGTATTTGTAAGATTTTTGGCTAACTCCCATATGTATTTATTAATATTATATTTGTACCAGTGTACAAAATATTCTTTCCTATTTCAAAGCCACCTTGAGACTAAAACTTCTTCTACTGCAAATTCTTGATTATTATCAACTTTTATAAGGAGAAGTAGTATTTGTCTTTTTTTTGGTATATCTATTATCTTATATGGCTTAAAAAGAAAAAAATAGAATATATAATGGAACTTTATAGACTTTAGTAGGTATAATTAATAAGAAACTAGATTGATCTATTCACAAATAGGAAATAATTTAATTTTATAATAATCCAACTTGTTACAAGAGCAAATAGTCTTGATATTACCACAAAGTTATTATACTTTGTTGTCAATGTAGAATTGAGATTTTTCCTTATAATAGGAATCTTTATTGATTTTTTTATTGTTCTTGAAATTTCATTAATTATGTCTTTATTTTTGCATGTAGCTTTAATAAATGATTTGTTAAATCTTTTACTATAAGATTATCAACTTTTAAGAAGTTAAAATTATTAAGTTGTGGATGATAATCATAATTAGTATAAAAAAGCATTTGATATATAGAAGAATGTATTATATTACTATAAATAAAATTTACTAAT